TTCACGAAAATTAACTGTATTTTCAGAAAACATTCAAACAGCGATACGCCGCATATACGAGCTTGCAATAGAGAGGAGAAGCCACTGCGTCAGGTTGCTATCAGATGGTAGTTTAATTTCTGGATCTCAACAAACTGTGGTCCTGAAAATATGGCACGATTTGTATTCAGGAACAAAATGATAGCCTATACGTTTCTTCTATCGTATGACAATGCAAATGGCGATCTGTGTCAAGAAAACTGTTGAGATCCAGAAATTTTGCTACCGTGGTAACGTGACAATAACACTTATTCTCTGTATTCGACGAATCTGAGAACTTAAATCCAATAGACGAATTCAAAACTAGTAAGAAATAAATTGGAGGAACCGGTCCACCCCGACAGTTACCTTTAAATAAACTATATTTTTTAAAAAAGAGACTTTTTATTGGAGCTTAAATTATAGTGAGGTAAATTCTCTTGGATGGACACAGTTCATTAAATCAGCACAAAATGTTTTGCTTCATTAACACTACGTCATCATTGGAACTCAGTATTTTCAATAGTTTAGTAGATAAATTGGAGAAAAACTTCCAACAGTCGAGCGCTACGAAGCACGTGTGTCGTTTCTCTAAAAAAAACTTGTGTGCGTCTCCGTCCAGTCATAGACTCACAAAAACGACTTTAGTGAGACACTCGCCTCATTTTTTTCTTCTTACCATATTTTTGACGTCATCTGTGATCTGTAAATGAGCAGAGAGACGGAAAAATGAAACCTATTATTTGAATATTTGCAGAAAAGTAGACAAAAGTACGTTTCGCCGTTTGGTTGGCCGGCTATCAACTAAGTTTGCGCAGTAGAAACCAGACTGGTGCTAAAATTACCCAACTGATTAAGAGGAGACACTGTTACCAGTATTTGGCTCTGATAAATACGTAGATATAAAGAATCGAGTAAAAATATTTTATAAAAAAAAATGTTTACGCAATCCTCCATTTCTCTTTTTAGGTAGAACCAATCTTTCATCACTGTTAAACGCATTCATGGAGAGACAGAGTTTAGAGGCAGGTGACGTCACACCAGCCGCTGATGCGGAAACACTTCAGTTTGATGCTGAAACTTTACGAGGTGAGGAGAAAAATCCTGTTTTTTTTTTTTGCATGATATAATTTCAACAATAGAAAAGTTGCATTTGGTTAAGCCTGGTTTCCATATGATCGTCCGGATCGTCCCAGTCGTCTAAAAAATGTTCAGACGATCGGGACGATCATATGAAAACGCTACCCAGACGATCGCAAACGACCCGGACGACTGAGACGACCTCGATCGCTTGGATAGAGTTGAGTTCTATCCCGACGATCGGGACGATCACATAAATTTTGAAGCGATCATATGGAAACGCTCTCAGACGACTGAGACGATCGGGACGATCGAAGGCTATCCCAGAAGTCATCACTTTTATTCCAGTAATTGAGAATAAATTCGGCCTGGAATGCGCTGAAGCCGAAAAAATAATACACAAATGTTTGCAGCGGGTAAGGGGATTATTTGAAATTAGAGAAAGTCCGTGAAATCAAGTTTTCGAAAAGATACTGTGTCTTCGGGTAGCTCTTCTAGCTTCTCAATGCCGCAAAATCAAGAGAAAAAGCAGATACCAAGGTACGAGGTTCGCTTTACGAATAAAAATCATCCATTTATGTGGCTTGTTTGCATGCAAAACACGCGCAGAGACATCGCTGACGACCCCGCGTCTCTTGCCTTTGAGGCGATCGAGACGATCATATGGAAACCACCAATCGCCCCAGTCGTCCGGATCGTCTCGAAATATTTTGAAACGACTAGGGCGATCGGGACGATCCGGGCGATCATATGGAAACCAGGCTTTAGATTGAAGACCTTACCCATTCGCAAATGCATTTTGTCATGTGTGGGGTCTGATATAATTATACTGTGGGAAACCCTGGTTGGGAGTCGAGAGAATAAGAGTAAATGATGATCACGTCGGTTTTTTCAAGCACTTTTTAAAATCACCATAATAATTACAATTTTCTGCCTTAGCAATTGCAGAGGTGAACAAGAATGAGGGTAACAATGAGTACAGCAAGAAAAATTTCAACGGTGCCATTAGTTACTACACAGAGAGAATTAAAGTGAACTGCGAGGATAAAGAACTGAATGCCAAACTGTACAGCAACAGGGCGGCAGCGCACTTTAATTTGGGTAAGAAGTTGCCTTTAAAGTTAGTCATAGTGATGTTATCTGTAACTCTTTAAAGACTTTATAAAGTATTGTAGTGGCTCTGCAACTGGGAACGGTTTTGTGAAGTGATCACTGGACCTGTAAGCCGTTACTACTTACGCTTTGTAGAATACTCTGCTTTACAAAAGTTGACAGACTACAAAAAACTGCTGCTTCTATTATCTAATTGTAGTAGCTGTTCATCAGTAGAATCCCAGGCGAGAATTCGTGCAATTCCACAACTGGTTTGAGCTTTATGAAATGTTTTAAAATTTTTGGAGCAACCAGACACAACTCGAGAACAGATAGTAACAGGCCACTTTGTAAGACATATAGTTAAAACGTTACAGCTCAAAGTAGGTTAGCGTGTCAACTAAACCGTGTCAGTTTGACAGTGTAAATCATTTTTTCTCAGTTAATTACACCGAAGTACTGAATGATGCAAAAAACGGCCACCGACGTGCAACCATCCTTTGTAAAAGCTTTTGTGAGAGGTATGTCGATTACATAATGGGCCTATCACCAATATTTGTTTTCTAACCGGCATTACTGATTTGGTTTTCCCAAATATATTTGCGAAAATGAACGTTGTACTTCAACGCAAGACAGGGTATGTTAAAACTCGTCTACTAAAACTGCTCTCATCAGCTTAAGGGCTTGTTAATGATATCCTTATTCATACCTTGATCAGAATGTGATCAAGTACGTTGAATCGCTCGGTTTTATTTACCACACTGTGCGTAAAGAGACTCTCTGATCCTTTTGCCCCAAGAGTGAGTTACGTTAATGAGGCCATTGTTGTTGTTGTTGTTGTTGTTGTTGTTTTGTTCAGCGCACCACTCCTTATCTCCTGAAATTTTCTTATGGTGAGGTTTATTCCTTCCTCATTAGGAAAGAAAAACGAATCTACATATTTAGAGTAGCATGTACAGGCCAAATGTGTTGAGTTTGAGTCGTATGTTTGTTTTTTTCTATGCAGGAGCAAGTGCCTGTGTTCGGTTGAAGATGTTCGGTGAAGCCATCACATGGTGTGATAAAGGATTAGCAGTATCTTTTAATAATTTAGATATTATTTCTTCACAAACCTTCTTTATTCTTCTGCTAAATGTTGAAATATATCTAGTGTAGACCCACATGCACGTCTAAATACACCAATAGGATGTTTGTATGCAAACTCGTGACAATGAAACAAACACGCTTATGGCTCCGTCAACTTCCTAGCCCTGCCACCCCCCCCCCCCCCCCCCCCCCCACCTTTTTCTTTTTTTAAAAACACAAAAAAAAAGTGTCAATGTCCCGCCGGTTCTCTTGGACATCAAAACGACAATAGAATAATAAGATATATTTGTACACTCATGACGGACAAACCAAGATGAAAAAAAAAAAAAGAAATATAAAACNAAATTCAATATGTTTCGATCGACTCGCGTTTCAAAACAACCGGGCAAGAAAAAAAAAAGGCCTATTGCCAAAATTTTAAGTATAATTCGTCGTTGACTGAAACATGTAATTCTTTAGCATTACAGTCTAAAAACACCAATTGGATGTTTGTATGCAAACTCGTGACAATGAAACCACCACGCTTATGGCCCCGTCAACTTCCTAGCCCCGCCCCCCCCCCCCCCCCCCCGTAGATCTGTTCGTTTCCTAGAAATACGAAGGAAACCGTTTTATGTCCCGCCGTCGATTTCGCGAGTCAAAAACACGGTTGAAATTCAATATGTTTCGATCGACTCGCGTTTCAAAACAACCGGGCAAGAAAAAAAAAAGGCCTATTGCCAAAATTTTAAGTATAATTCGTCGTTGACTGAAACATGTAATTCTTTAGCATTACAGTCTGCTTATTTGTAAAAAAGCCGAGGTAAAAATATGCCCGTTGCTTACCCTTGAGAGGTAGTTGAATGAAGGCAACGATTTTCATTGTTTATAGTTGATTTGCCTTTTTTACAAATAAATTAAGGGAAAAATATATAAATTACAAGCGAGTAATATTTTTTGAAAAAAATACCCCTTCCCTAGGAGTGTATGTATGGTCTTTAAATGTTCAATACCCCTTAAATTATTTTCAATGCATACATCTTTGCCATGCTAAACACGATATATTAATTTAATAAATCCGTTTAGTGTGTTAACTTTGTGTTAATCAGCTTATCATCGTCCGTCCCGCCTTTTCTAATGCAAATTCTTCTAAGCTACTAGCATCCACAGACTTGCTTTTAAACGTTTTCGCGTTCCACACTTTGTACAACGGAATTTCCCATAAACATAACGTTAAGACCCAAGATGATTTATCTCAAGTTCGCATTTTTTTAGTTCAGAAACTTGACAGGTTGTTAAAATTTTTAACAAGTTTACTTATACAAGATCGACCAGAACGACCAGAAGTTGTTGGAATTACGGGGCAAGTCTGTAATAGAACAGAAAAAACTGAAAGAAAATCACGGAGAAGAGGTAAGTATGTAAAGAAAGGGAGTAAGCGGTTATATGCAATACGCGCCCTTAAGAAGTGCGGACTAACTGATAGGCAGCTTATTCTTGTCTATTGTAGTATCATCAGGTCTGTTTTAGAGTATGCGAGTCCCGCTTGGGCTGGCCTCTCGCAATACTTAAGTGATCACATTGAATCAATACAAAAGAGGGCGCTAAAATTATTTTTCCTTCTCGGTGCTATGAGGACGCGCTTAAGAAATCAGGCTTAATTTTGCTGCGCCAGAGGAGGGAGGATGCGTGCATAACATTTCTCAAGCGAAGTTACTCTTCTTCCGACCTGCTACGAAGCTTAGTGCCGCGAGTTGNGATCGACCAGAACGACCAGAAGTTGTTGGAATTACGGGGCAAGTCTGTAATAGAACAGAAAAAACTGAAAGAAAATCACGGAGAAGAGGTAAGTATGTAAAGAAAGGGAGTAAGCGGTTATATGCAATACGCGCCCTTAAGAAGTGCGGACTAACTGATAGGCAGCTTATTCTTGTCTATTGTAGTATCATCAGGTCTGTTTTAGAGTATGCGAGTCCCGCTTGGGCTGGCCTCTCGCAATACTTAAGTGATCACATTGAATCAATACAAAAGAGGGCGCTAAAATTATTTTTCCTTCTCGGTGCTATGAGGACGCGCTTAAGAAATCAGGCTTAATTTTGCTGCGCCAGAGGAGGGAGGATGCGTGCATAACATTTCTCAAGCGAAGTTACTCTTCTTCCGACCTGCTACGAAGCTTAGTGCCGCGAGTTGCGCACACAAGACCGTATGCCCTTAGAACAGGAGAATCTGTTTCTGTGCCAGCCTCCTCAAGAACTAACAGATTTGGAAATTTTTGCACCATCGAATACCAGAATCACGTTTAAAATAGCGAACTGTGATATGTCTTAACATTAACAGTTGTAATACGTGTCATAATTCCGAGGTATTTGTATGTAATTAACGACCCGCCTTGTAATTCAGTTTATGCTGCAAAAAGGTTGAATAAACGATCATTATTATTATTATTATTATTATTATTACTATTATTATTATTATTATATAAAAAAGGACTTAAAGGGAAGGTTACACCGTTCAGCGCATGCTCATCAATCAAAATGCTGTATTTCTGCTGGGAGATGCTGTATCGTCTATGCAAGCAATATTATCATGTCATAATGTTGTCAAAGAACGAATCGGCACACCCCCTCGGCGGTCACTTGATCGACTTGTGTGCAAATAGCTGTAAATTCATCAACCATGGAATACCACCCTTGGGTCAACGATAAATTCAACGTTGATAGTGTTGGCATATTTTAAAAATCCACTCATTTTTTCTGCGATTTTAGTACTCCTCCATCCTACTTCAGGTTACCCTGAAATACAAGTCTACTTTCAAGTACACTCTGAGATAGCCAAGATACATGTGTGGGATTATTAACCGACAGAATAAATAATAGATTGGAAAAAAGCAATTTAATTAATGAGCAGGCGCTGAACCGTGAACCTGTCCCTTTAAATTACGTTGTCTCAGTGAGCTTATTATTGAACATGCTTTGTCGGATGTCTTAACTTGGAGAGCTCATCTCACTCTATAGTATTGATACAGTAGCTGGTTAGAGAAGCAGATATTTCTCTCGGTTATTTAAAAGTGGCTGTTCTGTTTTAAAACAATACTGAAGGCCTTTTGAGCTCAGTTATCCCATCTACTCCATACGCAACTATTTAGTATACACTTTTCTAGTAAAAACATCTTGGTTATCATCCAAGTACCTTCCCTGATGCTCATAATGTAGAGTAAAATACACAAACACTGGCGCACTTCCACTTGTCTTTATGAATTGAACCAATGTTTGTGTAATATAGGAATTTTCCTGTGCTGTATTTATACTTTTTTGTGCGATAACCTTCAATACATACACCTGTTCCATTAATGCCAATATCTGTTTAATGTTCTATCACTACTTTAAATGTCTAATTTGTTGTCCAGAAACGAAAGCATTGCAAACCAACTCTCCACATATAACTTTCTGATCTTTGAACTGGTGATACGTATAAACACTTTTTTTTATCCCAGTTATGAGGTGAAATATTTCAATCATCAATGTTTAGAACAACAACATATTCTGTAGACCATTCACCAACATCATTTATAAGACAATGAAATATATTTTTAGCATTGTAATATTGTTTGACATTTGACATTTTTATTTTTTTATCTACATAATTTTTTGTTGTCGGTTTCAACACTTGAAATAGGGTGAAATGACAAACTAGTTATTCGATTATCATTCATATGTTAACGGAGCCAACCATTGCGGCAGTTCCATCTGTTTTAACATAATTGGATCCCCTTAATCCCTCCTCATTGTCAACATATGGTTTATTTGTTCCATCAGAAGATTATGAAAGCGATTTTAGATTTCGGAGGTACCTATTTTTCATATTAATATTTTTAATAACATATGGAAACTTTTTGGATGCAAAACTGATATTGACAATGTTGCCATCAAGTACTTGGTTGAAAAAAAGTTATTTTACCAATATTTGAAATAAATACTTTTACCATTCATATTAATATCTGAATTTTTTAAAATCAATTTCATTTACCATAATCTTTATTTACAGATAATGGTCTCTATTTGTTGGAGTTTTGACAGTATAAACAAAGTTTTTTCCCATATCCAAATATTTTTCCATTGGAAAAAAAGATCCGTTTTTACTTACAAATATATCACGAACATTCTCTTCATTTCGATTCGCTGTGAAATCGTTTTTGCTACCCATAACAATGTAGTTACCTTGAAGGTCAATATCTTGATTATTATCATGTTTTGTAATTGCATCACTGAAATCAGAACCTTCAGCAACATTTGTTAGATTTTTATCGTCAATATCATAATTCCCATTTTTTGTTAAATCAAAACCTCCTCCGTTTACTACAATCTGTGTATTTTCACTCGTAAAGTTTAAAATTCCGTTGGAATAACTCATTTTTATTCATTGGTTTTATTTTTTCATCAAAGGTTTTAGTAGCAAATTTGCGAGGTATGTCATGTATAAAAAACAATAAGGTTCATATGCTACTTTTTCATAAAAATTACTTGAAAAATCATAAATACAAAAATGAGAATAGCTTAATCTAATATCTTTTGGTGTTTTATAATAAACATGATATTGAGAAAAATAAGTGACACTACGAGTTTTACGTCTTCCCACTATGAAATGTTCAATCAGTGGATTTTGATTTTTTCACAAATAAATCCTCAAATGTGAA